CGGTCGGAATTCGCGCGCCCGAAACCTGCCTAGTTGGCCGCATTGTTCCTGCGCATTTGCGCGCTGCGGATGGTCCATTCGTAGGTCACGTTCCTGTGGCCTGAGGAGCGCGACCGATTATGGCGCGGGCTGCTGGGTGTTGGGTTTTCCTGTTCAGGTGCTGCTGGCGCCCTCTGGTCGCGCTGCACTGTGCGCGCCGTGAAGTCTCTGTGGAGCTGATGGGGTTTTCGCTGACAGAAGTGACGCAGGGGCGGAGGCCCTGGTTAGATTGATCGCCCACGTGGCTCGTTCGGACAATGGTCCGCACAATTCGCCGATGTGTAAATGGCGTTGTGTCGAGGTGAGGGATTATGTGCTGCGGCCTAATGTTTCATCCAGCCGGCTATTAGCCGAGTTGTGGCGGATCTAAGCCGGTCATGCGTCTTGCCTGTGAAGAGGGGGGGGGGGGGGGAATCGGTAAGGAATGGCGAGAATGAGAGCGCGCAGTGAGAACGCTAATGGGCTTTGGCTGGGCTCTGTGATCCGTGTACGGCTTCCCAGGGCCGGTCGACAGGTTGCCTTCCGCGGCGGAATGCCTTAATCTGAAGCCCTGCGTGTAAACGTCGCTCCTGCCGAGTTACCCGTCCGGCGCCGGCGGCTCAACGCGACACCCGGGGATCCGCGCCGATCGTAATCACTTCAGGTGGCTTGCAACAGTTGGCGGCACCGAAGGACTGCCCGGGCACCATCGGTGCGAGCCGTGTAGCCGCGGCGGCACGTGGCTACCGAGCCGGCCGCCACGTTCGCCTGAGACCGCCCTCCCTGCTCCGGCGGTCCTCCGCCATGGCGCCAGCCAGTCAGTCACCCTCTGTGATTGTCTCGCCACGGGCCACGTCTGGGGGAATGCCTGACAGCTGGGTCGCCGTCCGCCCTGGCCGGTGGCGCCACGGCTTCCGCCCGGTCCATCGGCAGCCGTGTGTCCCGGTCTGCCGGCCGACACGTGCCGCGGCCAGTCAGCTGCCCCGTCACCCGGCCAGTCAGCTGCCCCGTCACCCGGTCGTCACCCGATCAGTCAGTTGGCCTGTCACCCGGTCAGTCAGCTAGCCTGTCACCCGATCAGTCAGCTGGTCTGTCACCCGGTCAGTCAGCTGGCCTGTCACCCGGTCATCACCCGGTCAGTCAGCTGGCCTGTCACCCGGGCGGTCAGCTGGCCTGTCATCCGGTCAGTCAGCTGGCCTGTCACCCGGTCATCACCCGGTCAGTCAGCTGGCCTGTCACCCGGTCAGTCAGCTGGCCTCTCACCCGGACGGTCAGTTACCCTGTCACCCGATCAGTCAGCTAGCGTGTCATCCAGTCAGTCAGCTGGCCTGTCACCCGGTCATCAGCCGGTCAGTCAGCTGGCCTGTCACCCGGTCATCATCCGGTCATCACCCGGCCAGTCAGCTGGCCTGTCACCTGGTCGGCCAGTCAGCTGGCCAGCTGACCTGGTCCCTGGTCCGTCCTGCCTGACTGGGCCGCCCGCAGTCCTGTACTCGAGTGAGGACACCTCCTGCCTGGTGATGCACCATCCGGAACCGGGCATGCGGCGTCGGATGCTGCCATCCGTCAGCGTCTCCTTCCTGTATCAGCCAGGACGCCTGTGGCCGCGGAGAGAGGCTAGGGCTCCCAGCCGGCGATGTGGCGGCGAGTGGACAGAGGGGAGGCCGGGGTCCCTAGCCGGCGGTGTGGCGGCGGGTGGACAGAGGGATGAGGCTGGGTCCCCAGCCGGCGGTGTGGCGGCGAGTGGACAGAGGGGAGGCCGGGGTCCCTACCCGGCGGTGTGGCGGCGAGTGGACAGAGGGATGAGGCTGGGTCCCCAGCCGGCGGTGCGGCGATGAGTGGAGGCGTGTCCGGCGGCGCCCCCGTCATAAAGCCGTCATTCTGTGGTGCGGCAGCCGACGCGCCGGCAGCTGCCGCCGCCCCGCAGGCGTCTCCGGTGGCAGATAATGGCGGCGCGGGCAGCCGATAAGGCGCGCGCGGCGCACTCAGTATCGGCCGCCGGCGCCGCCGCGGGCGTGGGAACAATTTCACGCCGGCGGCCGCGCCGACCGGGAAGCGGCCGCCGAATAGCTGGCGGTCAGCGAAACTGTGTCACGACTGGCGGCGGGGAGCGTCGCGACACGCGTTCGCTGGTCGGGCGGCGGGGACCGACGAAACGCGGCCCGCTCCGAATCGATGGGCGCCGCTGTCGATGGTGGCGTGCGTTGTCGGCAGCAGAGCGGAGTCGACAACACGCACCGAAAGTCGGCTTCGCGCGCCGCCTTTTGCTTCGGTGCAGCTCGCGAGAACTAACGGGAGGGTGGGAACGGGGAGCTCGAGGGAGCAGCTGGTTGGCGGAGGAATGCGCGCGGGCCGGGTTTAGGGAAGGGAAGGGGACGCATTGCTGCGAGATCGCGTCCCCTCCCGGCCTGTCTCGTATTTCATCCACTGCGCGGCGCCCGCTTGCACAGGGGCGGAGCGAGCGCCGACCGGAAGCGGGGCAAAAAGGATGGGAACGCCGCAGATAGATCAGCGACGCCGCTGCTTTCACACGCGGCGCACGGACGTCGCGGAGGGCGCGCATCTGCCGTCCGTCTGTTTTTGCCGCCCCGCCACCGAGCGTTTGGAGGGTATAGCCATTAGCCGTGCGCACCGTCATCCATCACCGCCTGTTTATTTGGCCGCTGCTGCGTGTTTGCAAGCGGAATTCGCCGCGAGCTGTGCGCGGCGAGTGGAGACCCGCTGGGTGGGCGAGATGAGGCCGTCACGCCGGCACGGCTCTCGGGTGTCCCGCCGGGCGCGGTGCCGGCTCCCGTCCGCGGGCACGGGCGCGGCCGGTTTCACCGGCCTGTCGTCGGTGGAAGGTCCCGCTGCCCTCTCTGCTTCTCAGCACTGCGCAGAAAGTGAAAACTGCGCGCGTTCCCACGCCCTGACCCGGGGCCGCCAGCTCGGTTTCACCCGCCGGTCGACGGGTCACGGACGCGCGCCTCCGATGCGTGCGCTGCGGCGGCTCGGCCGACCGTTGCGGCTCGCCGGCCGTCACCGCGCCACAAGGCCTCACGCCGCCGGCTGTCGCCTTGCTACAGGGCCTCACGCTGCCGGCTGTCGCCGCGTTACGAGGCCTCACGCCGCAGGCCGTCACCGCGTCACGGGGCCTCACGCTGCCGGCTGTCGCCGCGTTACGAGGCCTCACGCCGCAGGCCGTCACCGCGTCACGGGGCCTCACGCTGCCGGCCTACACAAAGCGTGACGCTTGCTCATCTTTCGCTCATCGGTTGGATGCGTCACCTAAGCCTGGGTTTTGTCCAGAGCTGCCCGGCTGGTCGGTAGTGGCGGCGTCCACCGTCGTGTCCCTGACGCCGGGAATGTGACGAGCAGCCCACGTAAGCGATGCCAACGGTGCATCTGCGACAGCGGTCTCCACCTGGGAGCCGGTGTGCGTGTCTCCATCAGTGAGACCGTCAATGTGTCATTATGTCGTTGATCGTTCACGCACGGGCTGGCTGCGCCACTCCCATGGATAAGTGCCGTGGATGCGGCTGACGTGGCGCACGGTCGCCACACGCACTGGCTGTCTGCAGTCGTACGCCGGGGCCCAGCTCGCAAGCTGATGTATGGCCTTTGAATGGCACCGATGGATCCAGCGGAGGACTGACTGATATAAATTGATGACGGCGATACAAAGATGTTTTAAAAGACCGTCACTGAATCAAACGGCGCAAAGTGGAATCGTTGCGATTGTGAAGGCGTGGTTGGTGTTACGACCGGCCCTGCTGCTGCACCCCTGGCGGCGTACCACGGCCGCCTACAGACTTCCCCGCACTACTCCGGGCATGATCAACAGGATGAACGGCGACCGACTCCCCCCCCCCCCCGCCGGCGCAGACCTGCGCCGCTGCCGCTGGAGACGGGCCAGCAGGATCGGGGTCGGTCGGTTGGGCCAGCCGCTCGCCTCGGTGACACGAGGACGTCTTCGTGGCGTGCGGACGGCGCCTCTGTTGTTGTGGCACTAACTCCGCTGATGAGGTAATTGGCGGTGATGGCCGGCTGGCAGCGCTGCTCGGCGCCGGAGGACGAGGCTGACGTCAGCTCGGGATGCACTCAGCTGCGAATTAACGCGTCCGAATTCCTGCCCACGCACTGCGGCAGGACCGATGGGAATTCTGCACTCGTTCTCGGTCCAAGCCTGTGCCATTTCTGATCACGCCCGTCGACATTCGTGTGAGGACTTCGTTCCGATCGCCTGAACCATTGTTAAGTTCATGGCACAGGTGCTGCGCGAACTGCACTGCGACAGTTTATGTGAACAATCAGCTAAGCGCTCGCGGTTACTATACGTCTGCTAGCCAAGCCGGTGCCATGCCCCATCACACCACGCGAGCGCTGCGGAATTCCTGGAGCTTTCCCCCCCCCCCCTCCCCCTCCGCCTGGCCTTCGCAATGTCCTGTCTGCACCTCGTCTTACAACGCACACAAGCCCTCGTAAAACATCAGGTCACAGGTGGAGGGCGAGCATACTGCATAGCGCGTCTCGCAAATGGCGTCGCACGCGATCCGGGAATTCTCTCTGTGCCGAGCCGGCTCTGCGTCTCCTCGCCTCGCCGCGCCCGGCGCTGCGCTTGTTTACGATTGGCTCAGACGGCAGGCAGATCGGAATCCGCCATCAATGGAACTGTGATCGACGCTCGCCCGCCCGCGCGTCATATGCGCGCATCGAGCCGGCAGCGGCCGTCGGGCGCGGGCTCGGGCGCGCGGCCTCTGCTCTCCCGTGCCCGTCTCGGCTGCCCGGCGTCGACTCGCGGCGGGGGCGATTCGCCGCGTGACTTGACGATGAGCTCGCAGCTTTTCCGCGGCCGAAATCACGGACGGTTTCACCGGAGCGCGCCGCTTTCCGGAGCGGCGCCCTGCACCCGGCGGTGACTCGGGGTCGTGAGTCACCGAGTCGCCGCGAGTCCGCGCGCGGCGTGAGTCAGCGCCGGCCTGACCCGTCGCGCTCTGTTCCAGGAGCCTGGGCCTGGACCTGGTGCCGCGCGTGCTCGGCTCCATGCTCGACCCGGACGCCATCTCGGTGGTGACCCTGCACCAGGTGGTGAGTACCGAGCCGGCAGAGGGGCGGCAGCGGCGCCTGGTGTCGCTCTGAGCGGGGATCAGCGCCGCGCGCCCTGCCGATGGTGGCAGCATGCGCTGCGTGGTTTTGATCATCGGACGTAATGAACTCGGATTGTTTTAATACGCATCCGCTGGGTGTCACCGTGCCTAACACGTGCTGTGAAGGCCAACGTACTGGTAACTGTCACTGCGGGGGTGGAAGTGATCGTTGTGGTCTGAGTGGTAGTGATCGCTGTTGTCTGAGTGGTAGTGGACGTTGCTGTCCGAGTGGAAGTGATGCATCATGCTGTGCCGTTCAGTGATTTAGTGCACCCTTGTTCATTGAACAGGTTTGCCCCACATGAATGTGTCACGTGCCAGCAAATCACAATGTGGCACGTTTGGCGGCGGTGGAAAGCCAGAGGTCTCACTCCTGTGTAACGTCAGGTTCGGCTTTGCCCCGCGCTTGCAGTGTTGCGTTTGTGACGCGTAGTAAATGCACAGCATGCACGCGAGCGCACCGCCCCGTGAACGCGAAATGCTCGTGAATCACAATGAATCACTGGTCACCGGCATGAACCGGTCCCGCTCCTGGCTGCGCAACCCATTATGAGCGGCCACTAGTGCGGGGGACCATTGCGTCAAGTCCGGCGGCGGCTCTATTTTGAATGGCCGGCACGCGTGGGCGCCCAGATCTGTGGGGTGATTCGCGTACCATGCCTGACTGCGCCGTCCGCCGCCATCACGGCCGTCCTGTTGCGATTACCGCCCGCCTCGTCCGGCTGCCGCGTCTGGGCATGTGTGCAGCGTCGGCTGGCCGGACCGCTCGCAGATCTGAGTCGGTCGGCGCCGTGCGTCTGCCGTGGACACACTTACCCGGTTTACATGGGCAGCCGAGGATAATTCGAATTAAGATCGGAACGGATCATGCGACGTTAACCCTCTCGGCGAGGGGCGTTTACATGGGCGAAACCGGCTTTACGTCGGATTAACGGTCGATAGTTCGATCCCGCTTAGTTCGAACCAAGGAACGGGTTATGGGCGAAAACTGCGCTTTTGAGGCGAACTGAACAAAACAAGAAGAAAAAAGCCGGTACTCTGCGTATGGATGGCGAATGTCACGAGCCATGGTGGGCGCGAGACAGCTTTGAGGGCGAGGAGGAAGATGGACTCCGTTGGAAAAATGATCTGTGCGGGACTCATAGGCTTTGTAGCTACAGCACAAGCCATAGCACTTGAAACACAGGAGTTGCGCAGTCAGCACTGCCAAATCTGTCACATAAGCAGTGTTATATGCAAATTTTTACTAGCAGGAAACTGGCTAGCACGAAATCAGTATTTTCTTGTATTGGCCAATGACACTCACAAACTTACCACACTCATCAGTATGCCACCCAGCATCACGTCATCTACTTTGCGCAGCCCAAGAAACACATTACCTAATCCCGCACCAATGCATTTATGAGCAGCCTGCAACAGTGAGCTAAGCTACAGAAATGACTCATGAATGCTACATAGTTAGTGGCAAAAATTGTGTAACTATGTTGTCTTTCCCCATCCAATGCATCATCAGTACCTGAGGGCAGCATTGCCATTTAGACTTGGCATGGACTGGCAAGTCAGAATGCAGCTATTTGCTTTCTTGACATACTAGCGTTGAAATACTGCTTTGATATCCTTGCAGTCAACAGCATTGGCTGATATGGACTGATGGCTAGGTGGCACAAACAGCCGTGTTCGCACAGTCCAAAGATCATAACGTGAACCAGCCCCAGAGCTGTCATGACAAAAGCAATCTGGGCTCAAAATTCATAACGAATGATTAATTATAGCAACAGCTCAATTATCCACCTCATGGTTTGCAAAGATACGTGTCACAAAAAAGCACCGAGGCAACATATTTACTCACCAGTACAAAAACAGGTAATGATGTGCACTGCAGATGTTCTCTGCACATCATGTGGCATTAGGTTAGGTTTACTTAGTTTATGTGCTGTTTTCTTCCACATGAAATGCACAAACCTGGATTTGACAGAGTACTGATGACAGCTAATTTCATCCAGTGCTCACATTTGCTTTCTTGACATTTTGGAACCATCACTGGGCAATTTTGGTCCCATCATTAAAAATAGTTCACATTCTGCACTGACTGCAATGATCTATTGCCTATATTTGTTGATCCTTTGCATCATGCAGGAATTATTGAGTTACCTATCTCACACACATTAAACCGACAAGCAACAAACAGCCTAATTGCATCAAAAACAAATATTCCAGCCCCCGCTTCCTTGCCAGTTGGTCTACCAGAGTGACGTAACTTCATATTTCCTTGACAAGCCAGTCACCAATATCCAGCACATCCCTCCTGCCAATAGGTGGTCAACCAAATGTTCAAGTCACAGGAGGAATGTCTGCAAAATCAATCCTGGGGCATTTATGCATTCACCTAATGAAAGAAACTATTGGTACTCCCTGCAAGAATTGTTGAACAGTTGAATTACCTACCTAGTGGCCTGCAAAGACACCCATCACAAAAAAGCACCAAGGTGACATATTTAATCACCAGCACAAAAACAGGTGATGATATGCAACACAGACGTGTTCTCCATGCAGCATGTGCCATCGTGTTAGGTGTTAGTTTATGCACTGTTTTCCTGCACATGGAACACACAAACTTGGATTTAGCAGAGTAATGATGACAACTATTTTCATCCAGTGTTCACATTTGCTTTCTTGCTGTTTTGACCCCATCATTGGGCAATTTCGGTCCTACCATTAAAAAAGTTCACATTCCGAGCTGACTGCAATGATCTATATTTGTTCATCCGTCATATCATGCAGCAATTTTTAAGCTACCTTTCTCACACAAATTAAACTGACAAGCAACCAGCATCCTAATTTAAGGAACATCTGCAAAAACACGCCTGGGGACTTAAGGTATTAACTTAATGAACGAAACTTGGAGGCATTCTCTGCAAGAATTTTGAGCAATCCAAAAATTAAAATGAGAACAAGTCAAAGCTATATAAAATAACCATATTACCTCCATCTGGCTTTTGGACGCATGGAGCCTGCCCCAGATGTAAGCTAAGCTAACCTTTAGGCGGAAAGATAGCACCAAACACCGTCGACGCCTGCTGTCTGCATAGATCAAGCGCCTAGCAAGGCTAAATTACGTGAGCATTTCTGTGCTGCTAGCCACTCAAGGCCCTCAATAATAAGAGTAGTTTTAGCAGCATGATGTCAACTCCACCTTCCTTCTCTTTTCCCTTACCATCTTGGACTTGAACCGTCTCGAGCAATAGCTAAAAACCCGTGGAAAAGCGGTAACACCGCACAAAGCTGAAATGGCTATGAACAGAACTGCGTGCGCCAGGCATTTTTCTTTTTTTTTTGTTTAGACAGCTGACGGCCGATAATTCGGACGAAATCCCTTCCTGAACGGATGATCCTCTCACGGGAAGGGATTTCCTCCGGCGCACGATTCGAATCAGCGGAACGGCGCGTGAGTGTATACATGGGCCGGATAGTTCGGATCGAGGACGGGTCCCGGCTTAATTCGAATCACAGCTGCCCATGTAAACAGGGTAACTGTGATGCTTGGGGTCTGGGGAGGGTGCTGTGTTGAGGGTGTTGAGTCGGTCGGCGCCGTGCGTCTGCCGTGGACAGACTGTGATGCTCGTTGTCAGGGGAGGGTGCCGTGTTGGGGGTGTTGAGTCGGTGGGCGCCGTGCGTCTGCCGTGGACAGACTGTGATGCTCGGGGTCTGGGAGGGTGCTGTGTTGGGGGTGTTGAGTCGGTGGGCGCCGTGCGTCTGCCGTGGACAGACTGTGATGCTCGGGGTCTGGGAGGGTGCTGTGTTGGGGGTGTTGAGTCGGTCGGCGCCGTGCGTCTGCCGTGGACAGACTGTGATGCTCGGGGTCTGGGAGGGTGCCGTGTTGGGGGTGTTGAGTCGGTCGGCGCCGTGCGTCTGCCGTGGACAGACAGATGGTCGGGGTCAGGGGAGGGTGCTGTGTTGGGGGTGATGGCACCCATCGCCGGCACCCGCCGACGGTATTTGGACCAGTGTCCGGAAACCGCTGAGAACTAGTTCAGGCACGCGTGGCAGAAAGGAGACATGGTGGGAGCATTGTGCGTGCGCGCGTGGTATGTAGGCCCTAGGTGTGAACCTTGTACCGCTTCCCATCGCCCCTCGTTCGCGCCTGATAAATCGTTGTGTGCTGTTATAGTGTGCCGACTGTTGCGTGCGTGAAGCGTGTTTTCGCTACCGTAATTATGAACTCGTCCCATTTCTTTGTAGGAGGTAGGGGCTACAACCCTAAGTAGTGAGCATACGGTCAAAAGGGACTGCACTGTAGTGGTTTTTGATCAAGAGGGTTATGTTAACGCATCCCCAACCCGTTAAAGAAGCATTTATCGTGCTAGCGTACCGTAAGTACAGATGAGTTAGGTGCTTATGGTTTGCTATCAGATTCATTCGTTGGCTTATCACCTATCAACATCGTTTGTCCATCATCGCCGAAGCCTCAGTGATCGTAATTGGATTTCACAGCCGTCAGTTTGTTACGTGACGTCGCTGTGATCATGTGTGAAAGTGATCGGAAACTTTCTTCAGCGGCACTGTTCTAAAACGCCACAAGCTGACAGAGCGTGGGTTTTCACCGACATGCTAATGAATAACCTACGGCCAAAATTTCACTTTCAACCTTCGGCGCCTGGCTTTTGCTGGCCGTTAAAACATGCGGACGCTCGGCGACCGACAGCATGCTTGCGGACGGCTTTCGATGGCGGGCCGGGCCGGCCGTGACGGCGTGGTCTAATGACGCTTATCGCCGTCTTACTGCCGGTCCGCCCTTTGTCGTCGGCCGCCGCGGATCATTTGTTTTTGCGCCAGCGTGTTTTGCTCCGTCGTTTCAAGGCTGGAGCCGCCTTCCGTCCGCGCCGCAATGGTCGCAACGGCCCGCGGCGCTCTCGTCAACGGGGCAATTACGTCCGCGGCGACCCGGGGCGCCCTGTTGTGACTCAGTGGCTTCCGAGAGGCGCGCGGAGGTCGGGGCGGCTGGGACGATGACCGCAGGCCGTGAGGCCGGAACCGGCCCGGCTTTGATGCGGCGCTGACGGCTCGCTCCTTGTTTCAGCACACCCAGAGTCTGGAGACGTCGCAGGGCATGTCGGTGAGTGCGCCGACCAGCTGGCGTCGCTCGAGACGCCGAAGCGCCAGCTCTGGTGTCGCCCGGCTGGCTCGTAGGCGGCCGTGCTCGCCGGGCGGCACCGCTAGTCGTGCCGAGGCATCGGCCGGCTGCCGACCGGCCGTGATTGGGCCGTTTATCTCGGTCGGATCTGACTGAGTCAGTGGGTCGGCCGCGCCACATGACTCACGCGCCGCCACCCTTTCGTCACGCGGCACGTGCCCGGACCGCGGGATGTCGCCCACTCGTGCCGGCGTGTTGCCGACCGGCCGTGTCGCTGATGCCTGTCCGGGGCCGGGGTGGCGTCACGCACAGCCGGCGCTGCGCCACTCGTAAGCCTCGTGACGCCAGGCGGGGACGCGTCACGCTCGTGACGGCCGTGACTGTGCGGCGTCAACGGCCGGCGCCGCCTGACGGACTTCTGCGTTTCAGATACGGGGCACGCTGCGGAAGAAGGAATCCAAACAACCAGCTGCACATAACCTCTACCTGGCGCTCAGAGACTTCGGTTACGTCATAAGCGAAGATGCCGAGCTTTACTTTTCCCTGTACGACGCCAAGAAGGCCAAGTTTGTGAGGTTCGTTCAGCCAGAATGTGGGTTGACTGTAAAGTTCCGGCGGATATGTAAACTGTCTTTTGAGTGAGTCAGTTTCCAACGCACAACAGTGATAAACTACTGCGTCGAGGATTCACCTAGGTGATGCGTCACACGAGTGAACTCTTAAAGTACAAATAATATTAAGACAAGTCGATTGCTGTCACGTCACACTCAGTGGGGCGCCCAAACAGCCTAGCATCGTAACACACCGCTATGGTGAGTGAAACAGGGAGCATTGCTCGTGCGTTGAGGGAGGTGCCCGCACGGACGGTGACCACCTTCCAAGCACTGTTTTTGTCAGCTGGCCCGCGCGTCCACCGCTCCGCTCGGCTGGTTGTGCGCCGGATAGGATAAACGGCTCTGTTTTGGTTTCGAGTATTCCGCTGTTGTGCCAGCGTGGGTTAGTTCCCGTTACTTTTGCGCCTGTTGTGGTGCCCAATGCCCAATCACGGGGCGTTGCGTGGCATGTTTACCGTCGCGTTTGTATCCGCCGCCTTCCAATTCCGGATTAGCGGCTCGTCAGTAACACTGCCGAGCGCAGTATGCGTGGTGTGCTTTGGCCGTCACTTTGCTTCATGTTTTATGCATGGCTCTGGTATTAATATTTATGCCTCCCCCGTCTTCCAGTGAACGATTTCTAGTCCAAATATCGAGAGACGGCACCTCCAGCTTCTTCAACAAGTCGACCAACAACAGCTCGACGGTGTTCACGGTGAGTTATGTCGTCAGCCGGCGCTCCGGTCCGCCCGTCTCCCGCTGGCCTGGCTGGCCGTGACACAAACACCTCTGTCACGTGACTGCGGCCTGCGCCGACGCACAGGTCACGTAACTCTGAGCGACGCTAGCGCGCGGGTCACGTGATCCGTCACTAGTGACTTTCACGCGACGAGGCAGCTCGGCGGCGCCCGTCGGCTGGCCAGGAGTCGGCGGTGCTTTCGGCGCCTCGGCATTCTGACCTCACAGGCGCCTCTCGTCGGCCGCCGAGCCACGGCAGGGCGCCCTGACCGTCTCACGGTGACAGCCCAGGCTCGGCCACGCTGCCCAGCCGTCACCGGCGCCGGCGCCGGCTGGTATGCCAGGCCCGTGCTGGAAAGCTGACGTGGGCCAGCGCGCCCGTCCGATGCCCCTACTAAGGACCTGTCTTTGACAGAGAGACTGCGGCCGTGAGGTCCTCGGAGCGCGCTCGTCGGCCCACGCCGGACCCGTTTTTTGAAAGCGGAACGAATTTTCCACGGATCCTCGGGTGTACGCCCGATGCTCCAGCCCGGTGCTCACCGTCGAAAACGAGGCAGGGATTCTTTCAGTTCCCGGGACATACACGGGACGGTCTTACCCGGCGCCTGTCCGGGGGGCGGGTACGAATGCTCCGTGAGTTCGGGGCGTGTACATGCGCGGCGTTCGGCGCCTGCGCGTGCGCCGTCGGCGGCCGGCCAGAAGCGTAGCCACGCTTTTTTTCTTTTTTTACTTGGCTTTTTTGCCCAGTGATTCGGCCAGTGGAGACGACGCTAACTGCCGCCACCCCGGGCCGTGGGCAGCTAGGCCGCGAACCACCGTGCCGTCTCAGACGGGGGGCAAGCAACAGCGTCCGGAGAAGTGGCCTATCCGCCGCCGTTTGCGCTCGGTAGCAGCGATGCGCTTGATTAGGATGGCCACACTCGCCTTGTCCGGCGCGTCTATGTTTCGTGTTACACAATGACTTGGTCGGCACTAGCATGCAGGAAAGCTGCTTATCTGGACTCAAACAGGACGCGTCTAATGCGCTGCAATGGTTCGGTGAACCGTAAAAGTGCGGTTGGGAAACGAGTTGTTGCTTGATATTTCATCATCTTAAAGATTTATGTGCTTCAATTGAGTGTGCCCGCTTAAATGGTGTCCAATTCAGTCACAGTTGGGCAATTAAACGCCTACCGATGGCACAAATGAGACCAGTTGCCCTCACGTGGTCCGATCTGTGGCCCAGTGATCTGTGATCTGTGATCTGAGCTCCGTCGATGGCGTCATGGCGCGCCGCGCCGCCGACTTTGATCCGTGTGCCGCGGCAGCCTTCACCACCGCGGTGATGACAACAATCGCCGTTGTGCGCGCTCCAGCTCTCGCCGGCCTGCCATTGACCCGTAGCCGTGCTCACGAACAATGAGCGAAAACTATGCGCGGCGCGTGAGCGGGCGGTCTGTGCTGCCCGGCCTGGGTGGGCGGCACTGAGGAGCGATCCCCGGCGGCGCGTTTGTTGCGGGGCGCGTGCGCTGGCCGGCGCTGCGCCGCCTCGCCTGTGACCGTCCCGGCTCGCCTGCGACAGGACCTGGGCAACGTGGAGCTGTCGCCGCAGCTGTACCTGGTGCTGCACGTGCTGCGCGTGGGCCGCATGGTGCCGTCCGAGTCGGCCAAGCGGCCGGCCTCGCAGCGCTTCCGCCGGCCGTTCGGCTGCGCCGTGGTCAACGTCAACGACGTGCTGGCCAACCGGCAGCCGGAGGCGGCCGAGCGAGAGCTGACGGTGCGCCTGCAGCAGACGGAGGAGCGCGACTTCTTCCAGCTGCACGAGCTGGTCATCCGACAGGCCAGCAAGTGCAGCGTCATCTCCGGCCAGGGCAACTACGGTGAGAGGCCGGACGGGCGGGCGGCGGACGCGCGTCTGGCGCGTCTGGCGAGGGCAGTGGGAGCGCCCCTGCCGGGCAGAAGCTCGCCGGGTGGTGCACAGCGCAGGGGCTGGCCGAGGCGACCCGCGTCACAGCCGGGAGGAGCTGTGCATGGCGGGGCCCACCGTCTGGCAGCGCTCGCCTGGCGGGCGGCGAGGGATGGCCCTATCTTGCCAGCGTCATGCATTATGCACTGCGCGGTTGCGAGGGTGTGTCGCAAACGGCATTGGAGCCAAGCCGCAACACGAACCGGTTTGCGATCGTTTTTGCGCGCACGCGCGAGTGGCGCTCGCCTCCACATGTCCCCCGCAGACGCGCTCCCGACAGCCGTGCTGACCTGTTGCGCCCGCGTGCCGGCAGGTGTGCTGCTGTCGCTGCGCCTGCTGCACGGCAGCCTGGCGCAGCTGCGCCGCGACATGCCGCTCCTGCTCAAGCACGCCGTCGTCACGCGCAAGCTCGGCTTCCCTGACGTCATCATGCCGGGCGACGTCAGGTGGGTGGCGTCGCCGCGCGGAGCCGTGGATGGAAGTGCCGTCGGTCCGGGTCAGCCAGGTCTCAGTCAGCTGATGTCCTGCCAGCGGTCTGGTCTACCGCAAGCGTCGGCCTCGGACGCCGCTCGGGGCTTTACAGCATCATGTGCGCACAGCGAACTTCAGCGTAGGCTAGCCGTCGTTGGTAGCCGGCGTGTGTGTGGCACTTCTTGTGCGGAGGCGGAGGCGTGACCGTTAATCGTTCTGTGTTCTGTGTCCGTCGCTGAGGCCGCATGGCTCAGCACCGCGCTGAGCTCCAGGCTGCTGTTTGTGAGGTCTTTAGTGCAGCCGAAGCCGACCCTCCACGCCTCAGCTGTGCGGTCCGGCAGCCGGGCACCGGCGTCGCGCCGTCAGGGTGTCTGACTCCCGGCCGGCACCCAGCTCAGGCTCTCGCCTCTGTGAACCGTACCCTGGCTGTCCGCGCCGCCCACACCCGCCGGGAAGCCGTGGTAGTGTGCCTGTGGTATGGCCCGGTCGGCGACGGTGGCCACGCGACCGTCGGCGCCCGGCCGGCGCCTTCGCTGACATCGTCGGGGCGCCGCCGCCGCCGCCGCAGGCTCGGGCCGCTGGTGGCGTGTGTACCGCACTGCGCGGCGGCGGACGACAGGGGTGCCAATTCCAGCCGAAACACGCTATCGGCCAGGAATGGGCCGCGCGCGACACGGGACGTCCCCCCCTCTCCCTCTGGGCACATCAATGGGACGGCTGCGCACGCGATAGTGTCACTGCGTCGGGCGACCTGGCTGTCATGCGGCGGCTCCCCGACAGCCGGGGAGCGGTGGCGGCCAGCGGCGGGCACCAGGACCCGTCGGGCCCCGCTGGAGGTCAGGTCTGGATCCTAGCACCTCTCCTCACTCAGTCCGTCGTCTCTCGAAGCACGGAGACCGTTTGTATGTCAGGCGTGTTTTGAAAGTCATAACAGAAGCGTGCAATGTGCCATTTGAAGCCAGTCAAACAATTGGATTATGGACTTCTGAGTGGTTGTGACTCATTGTTGCATTCTTGTAATTGGTTATCGACCCACCAGTTAATTGAATTGCAGCCGGCGCTTTCTGGTGAGGATGGAAAAGATTGGCACGTGTCGACAAACATATCCCGTCCGATAAAACCAATACAGAGTAGTGACAAGCCTTCGGCTAATGCCCATCAATGGATTGGTGACTCAGTTGGATGTGGGAAAAGCCGAGGGGTTATCTCTGCGGCTGTTTTCATCGTCCGAGTGTAGCTGCTGACATGCTCTTAATAAGGGGCGACAGGCACACCAGTAATAGTGGACGAACTCAACTCATTCAGATTTCAGGTCTTTGGTTGCTTTGTAACTGAATCGTGTATTGATGTAAAGCGCATTGGATGCTATTTTGTATCTGACCATTGGACTGTCCATGACCCCCTCAGCTTGGAGGGTGCAGCCCGTGCTCCATGTGCCCCCCCCCCCCCCTCCCCACACCCCACTCACCCCCTTGCTCCAGGCACCGTACCGCTCGATCCTGTGCTGCGTAAATGCCAACATGGCATGTCTCTGGCTTCTTGGCCTTTCCATCCCCCATTATGCATTTTTTAGGTACATATATAAGACAGTAGAAAAAGCCATATTCCTTGTATAATAACCAGGTGAATGGAGAGATCGATGGATTAATTCATTTTCCAATTCAATCCAATCGATCTATTACTTCGTTATCCTGGCTATTATACTAGGAATAAGGCTATTAGTGCTATTTTATCTGTGTGCATAATATTCCTCGCAAATGTACTTACCAATTTACGTACTTTTCAGGTTCATTATGAGTTTCAGACTGTATGCGCACAATTGCGACTTTGAATGCCTCACCGAAAAAGATATGTGAGACTCAAGTCGGGGAACGCGGGGGTTAGGTGTTAAGCTTCCTCGATGAAATAAGCCTTGGTCCAAACCTTCTCTGAGCCATTATCTCGTCTTTTTCATCGCATGTGCCGCAAACAAAATCTTGCTAAAGTCACCGGCATGAAATGTCTTCACCATAGGCTTTCTTCAAAGCCAGCCAGAGCTTGCAAGGGATCGCCAAGTACCGTTTAGTCATTGCGGCCGCGGTAGCCCCTCGGCTGCCGATGGTGCGCCATTCGGTGCTCTGCTTGCTGTGTGCTGTTGCGGCGCTCTGCTTGCTGTGTGCTGTCGCGCAGGACCCTCGGTAGGCCGAACCCAGTAGTTTTGGCTGTTGACTACCATCCAATTGAAGGCGCGCATCATCGTCAGATGTGGTCGATTAACGAAAGGCTAGATTTCCACGGTCGAAGGAACGAGGCAGCGTTATACATGCGCTGGCTGTAATCGGTTAGCGAGAGCTTCTGATGTGAGCTTATTTTGTGTGGGACCAGACTGAGCTCTTGTTTTGCCGGCCGCAACATTCCGGTCTCGCCACAGTCTGTTCCTGTCCGTAGCCATGTATGGATTTGTAGGGGCTCCCCAGCAAGACCTTTTTTGCTTCCGAAATCTGGGTCGGGCTTCTTTTGGCTCGCTACCGTTGGCTGACTTAACCAGTCTGACGGTCAAGACTGCCCTTAGCAATAAACTTGTGAACATAATGCGAAATCGCGTTTCTTGACAGTGCTTGTGCTTTAAAGCACTGCCAGACTTTGCTTTAAACTGTCGTTCAAACCTCTCAGAATGGCATTTTCCCGACTTTTCCAAGATCCAGGATTTCCGAGATGACTCCTCCAAGCAACATGTTATTATCTTTACTTCCCCGCCGATTGTGCCCGCTAGCATGGCCTCCCGAGGACGGTTTAAACAGGAAACAACATAAGACTAAAATAGCTCTCAGGCAAACCCCGAGGTTTATGTTGTATTCTTTGGTGAGGGTCGCTATGACGGGAGGAAATCCGTCGGGTTTTCTGCGAATGCCGGGTTTGCTATTTTTATCATTGGATTATCCAACATGGCACCCAGAGGCTCTGGAATCTCAAACCCGACACCATTCCTGTTCAAGCTGACGCCGTTGTTGAATCTCATGACAACCACACAAAGACTCCGTGCGCGATGCTTGGAATTCTCCGCCCCGCGTGAGGCAGGTTTCTTATCGCGTACAACTGGTTTCACTCGGTCGAAACTTCGTCCTTGAAGACACGTTTTCCCTGAACTCCTATCGGAGGTCCGGTACAAATAACATGGCTGACGACGCTACACCACGTCAGTATTCGATAAAGTACGGTGCTGATGTTGTATGGTGTAGGCGCAAAACACCTCATGAGTGTTCTGCAGTTGGCGCCGTTTCGGTGCTGGATGGGACTGCTCCACGCCGCGGGGACGTCTGACGTGCCCTGAACGTTCTGGTGCGGCGCTGCTTTCAGGAATGACCTCTACCTGACCTTGGAGCGGGGCGAGTTCGAGCGCGGCGGCAAGTCCACTGGCAAAAACATCGAGGTGTGCGTCATGGTGGTGCGAGACGAAGGCCGCGTTCTGGAGGTGAGGCGGCCGCACGGGGTCCGTGTCCTGAGGTCTGGGCACACTGCTCGCGGAAGGAAATGTTTGTCGGCCACTGTGCCACCAGTGTTGGCGGCGCTGTGCGAGTTGCGAGAAAGCTTGTGGGCCGTTAGTCCAGGAGTCATGCGTTGCGTCTGCTGTATCTGTTTGGTCGTTTTGGCCCAACGTCATGGCAACGAACAGATTTCATAGCTCGTTTGCACGTAAATGCATGCCGGTGAAAGGAAATGAAAGCTACTGGCTGGGATTTTTACTGTAAGGAGCTGCTTGCTATTCTGATGCCTTGCTTTGCGAAAGATATCCATTTATATCCACCGTGCTTTCCGCCGATCCTCTTGTGCTGCGCTTGCACAACTAGGTTTTTCTCCGTTGGTTTGCACCTCGCTTTCACCAGATGCCTCGTATGCCTTGTAACGCACCGCAAATATGATAACCATCCATTGTCAACACTGTGCTGTCGTTCAGCCCGCAACTTCGCCGACGAGCATGACGGAATGTGCCGTCCACTGTCCTGCCGCTATCCGCAGAGAGATCACGAGTGACCTCATCCGCACATGGGATCACCCCGGCGGCATGGGCCGGGCACGCGGTGACACCGGTGGGGAAGTCCCCAAACATCTCCTGCGAGGCGACTGACCTCAGCCGTCCCGGTGGCATTTTGGGTTGACCCCGCGCGCTGGCAGGGTCTTGGCCGTGCGTCGGCGTCTGCGGACGCCGCGCGTGTGACCTGAGGTCGGCGACCGACTGACGGCGCTGCCCGGCCCCGCAGGACTGTATCGTGTCGGCGGGCGGCCAGAGCGGCTGTCGCTACTACAACTCCATCATCTTGTACCACAACAACGCGCCGCGCTGGGGCGACACCATCAAGCTGGCCGTGCCTATCGACTCGTTCAATGGCTCGCACCTGCGTCTGGAGTTCAGCCATTGCTCCAGCAGTGAGTATGGATCGTGCGGCCACTGCTCCGGCAGTGAGGACGGACTGTGCAGCCACTGCTCCTGCAGTGAGTATGGATCGTGCAGTCACTACCAGAGCTGTGGGTTCATGTAGCTCAGTCGCTGCTCCAGTGGTGAGTAATCCATCAGCGAGCGAGGTCAGCCATCCTTCAGACAATCCAGCATTCCGTGCTGAATGGATAGCTGCAGGTGTGACATTTCACAAACAGTATAATGTATGTATTCATGCAACGTAACATGTTTTGTTACTTCGTCTTACTAAACGTTTTATACCAACGTCTCCCTGGTCACCCCGCACGGAACCCTTGACGCCTTGAGAATATGTCCATGTCCTGGGAGCGTAAAACGATTGCGATCGTTCAATGAGATCGGTGCCGTGTTACGTTTACCAAATCACGGCCGAAAGATCACATCACCCAGCACATTAGCGCGATGTTACGTAATGGCCATTATTACAGGGACATGGTTATAAAGGGACATGAAGTTAGAAGGGCTCTCTCTGTCTGCACCCACCAGGCCCTGACTTCGCGAACGTAAAGAATTCCCTGCTCCACATGACCCCGCGCCACTGATTGTGATGTCTCGCCCGGAACGCAATCGTCGCTCACGTGGCCTGGGAGACATTGTGGTATCAGCCTAATTGACACAGGCGCCGCGCCTCGACCAACATTAGCGCCGCGTCCCGCCTGACATTGGCCGCGTGTCGTCGGCGCGCGTCCTTCGTGCGCCGGCCGCCGTCCGGCCGGCCGGAGCCTTGGCCGAGATCGGCCGCTGGCGCCGGGCTCGCACCTGGCGGTCAGCTGCCGGACGGCCGCGGGCGGCGGGCGCCGGACGGCCCGGCCGGCTGGCGCGGTTGCCACACCCCGGCCTGCCTCCGGAGCCGGCCGCCGTCCGGGAGCGGCCGGCTCCGGCGGCGGCCATCAGCACGCCGTGTGTTACGAGACGGCGGCGGATCGGCAGGATAATCGACGGAAATACCGGTGTGGAAATGGTGATGATGCTCGATTATGGTCACGTGATGCTAAGCGAGGGTCCACTTGCAGCGGGTCTGGAGATGAGCCCCTCTCTCTTCCGACGTGTGACAGCTGTGTGCAATGTCAGCCGGTGCTTTGCCGTTCCCGCCGACACGGTCGCCGTCCCGCCTGCTCGTTTTTGTCGCGCTGGGATTCGTTAAGCTTGCAGCGAATGTCTCGCTTGGCCGTCGGCGTGACACGATGCTGACGGTGATGATGATGGTGATGATGACGGCGCAGCGCGTGTTTCAGCCAAGGAGCGGGGCGAGAAGAAGATGTTCGGGTTCGCTTTCTCCCGACTGATGGACGAGGAGGGCGCGACCGTGGCCGATGGGTCGCACGAGCTCTGCGTCTACAAATGCGAAGACAGACACAAGCTGCTGGTACGCACGCAATTAGGCTGGATCTGTTGGCGAGAGGAGGAGGGGGGGGGGGGGGGGACAGGCGTTAAGATGTTCTAGTTTACGGCTGTCTCCGGTGAAAAGACGATCATAAAAAATGATCGATAAATCGCGGATGTCATTAGGGTTGAGTGGAGTATGAAAGCCAGGAGCAATCTGGGACTTTTGTTGCCTTTGTCTTTATAATTGGGTGATAAATTTACGTCTGGGAAATGTCCCACCATGCGCCGGTTCACGAACGCGATGTGCGTGTCGTTTCCTTTCGTTATCATCTTTGTGAGAATAGTGCCTTTTGAATGAAAGCGTTCCGTAAACCTCTTGCGTAATCACTTATTGCACTGACCCATATTCGAAGTCTGCTTCGCTGGTCATTACTGAGCAGTGATTGACGTACCCACCCTGTGCGCACGCATCTGTCGCACGTTTTGCCACCGGCCGGTTCCCTCGGCAGCCCAAGGACGTGGTGTAGTCAGGATCGTCTGCGTGCCGCAGTCGCGTAAACAATCGCCAGCCTTGAGAAGCGTGCCTCACCCGACCCGCCGAGGCTTTGTCCACAACCGAGTGTGTCACATCTGGCCCTCTGTACACATGCACGCGGTGGCGCAGGTGACGCAAGCCCATGGTGTTGGCACGCGCGTGACCCCAACCCGGGGCTGCCGTCGGCGCGGGCGACGCCCCGCCGCCGCCCTGGCTACCCAGACCCGTCGGCCGGCCGTCAGTGGGTGACGCGTGGAAGGCTCGAAGGTCACCGCCCCGCTGCGGTGCCGCCTGACGCGCCCCTCCTCCCTCCCCGCGGCGGGCTCCGCTCCCCAGCCAGCGCAGGTCACAGGCGGCGGCCCGCTGATGGGTCAGGTCCGCCGTCCGGGCGGCAGCGGGACGGTGCTGGGGTCGCCCCGGCCCGCCGCGCGCCGCCGGTGCGTTCCGCCGCTGGCGCCGGGCGACGGCGGCGGCCGCTGGCGGCGGTGTGCGCCTGGCGTGTATCGCCGTGTGATCTGGAGCCGTACTCTGTTGCGTCAGCGGCCAATTAGAAGATAATGAGCGGTGTGGCGGCGGCACAAACCCCTGTGCCGGTGGCCGGCTCTCTCCTACCCGTTTTGTCTCGTGGTGCTTGTCTCGGCCGTTCTGGTCACGCCGATGTGTTTTTATTCGCGAGGAGTGCTGTGTTGCCTCTGGTCGGTGTCGGCGTGTGTGGTAATGTCGATTTCGCTCCCGCTCCCTCTCCCCTCCGGCCCATCTGCCGTAACGTCGATCCCCGCCGTGACGTGCGCGTCCCCCCGTGGCGTCCATCCCCGCCGTGACGTCCATCCCTGCCGTGACGTCCCCACTCTCTGTCCGGCAGAACCCGGCCTCGTACCTCGGCCTGCCCTGGCACTCCGGCATGGTGCAGGGCGCGGTGGGCGGTAACCAGCACTTCGGCCGCACCGGCCGTGAGGCCGTCTGGGTGCACACGCTGCTCTGCTCCACCAAGCTGACGCAGAACAGTGAGTGCGACGGAGCAACGGCAGAGATGGGGTGCGGCCGCACCGGCCGGCCAGTCGGCGGTGCTGGGTGCCCTTTGCCGGAGGTGTGGGCCGCCCGCACAGGCGGCTGGGCTGTATGTTGTGAGTGGTGCGCGTCGAGAGGCCGAAAGCAAGCCTTCTGTCGTCACACGTGGTCTGTTATCCCGCACATTTGCGCTCACGTTGATCTAGAGCGCCTTTTTCGTGCAGGCAATATTGCTGGGCCCCGTTAAAGTGACTTGTGGTTCTGACTTTAACACGCTTGCGCGCTGTCGATTGCTGGGTGATTCAGACTTTTACACGCTTGCGTGCTGTCGATTGCTGGCCCAACCGTGCACGAAACGCTCCTTTCAGTCGGCCTGCTGTCATTACTGAAGTGGAAGCAAAACCCGGATCGCATTGTGGAGACGCTGACGCGCATGATGAAGCTGAAGGGAGAAGAAATCGTGAAGTTTCTGCAGGACGTGCTGGACGCTCTGTTCTCAATGTTTTCTACCGAGGACGGCAACTCTACGCAGCATTCTGGCCTCGTGTTCCAAGTCCTGGTACGATCGGCTTAGGCTAATCGGTCGACGGAGGGGCCAGGCTTATTGTGCTTCACTACCCACTACACGGGTCTTTAATTACGACGGACTGTCATTTTCGAGTGGCGATGTAGGATAGCGCCGGGCTGGTAGGATGCTGACTAATCAATTGGCTTATGAGAAGCGGCATTACGGTGTGGCCAATTATTGCAATTCCCAAAAGGCCGCAGTCGTCTCGTTAAAATCGAATTATCTTCGGACGTATGGCAGAATCCTGTGAAATATCGCTCGTAAAATCGGTGCATTAAATCAGGTTTAATCGGCATTACTCGTCCTAAAATAAAGTGAACTGGCTGCCACTCAGTCTTGAGACGGTGGTTGGTTGCGGTCCAGTCCCACACCGTCACATGTTTTGTATTTTGTTCGTCAGGTGAGCATCTTCAGCCACCTGCAGGACAGCAAGTTCGAGCACTTCCGCCCCGTGGTGGACGCCTATGTGAACGGTCACTTCGCCGCCGCCCTGGTGTACAAGTAAGCAAGCGAGCGAGCGCGCCGCCCAGCCCCGGCGCTGACCTGGCGGCGTTTAGTGACGCTCGATGGTGTGCAGGATGAGAGCGATGACGGCTCTGCGGGTGCGCACCAGAGGGGATGGATTTAGGCCTGGGATGCGACTTGAGCTAGTGTAGCAAACCGCAGCAAACAGCAAACTTCGCTACAGCCGCCGCATGCCTTGATAATTTCCATATTTTTGAAACACGGCTTACCCGGAAACAGTCGCTAATCGCAACGCGTTCAAATATTTTCGGCGGGGTTTTTGGTGAACCATTGCCATGCCAGTATTCTACCTTCACGGCATGTGTGCCGTATTTCACGGCGAAAGGTTAAAATCAGCTCGGGCTGGCTTACCGACTGCAAGCACGAGCTGACTTACAATTGGTAATGTGACAGTGGACGGTACAATAATAGAGTGATATGTAGAGAACGACTTCGTTTCGAGGTTTACCTGACTGGTCATGCGCATTTTCGTCCAACGTTTGTTTTTTTTTTCTCTCATTATCGTGCCACTCCCCCGACTGGCCCGCGTCTCCTGTTGCAGGGGTCTGATCAGCTGTGCTGTGCCACTCCTCTGACTGGTCCGCGTCTCCTTTTGCAGGGGTCTGATCAGCTGCGTGCGTCACTACGCAGAACAGGTGTCCGTGGCCGAGAAGCAGGAGCCGCTGGTCAAGTGTTTCCGCAGCCTCGAGTTCATCTTCCGCTTCGTCATCCAGTCACGCGTGCTGTTCGCGCAGCAGAGCGGCGGCCAGAACGAAGAGAGCTTCAAGATGGACCTGTACAGTCTGTTCAACGCCTTCAACAAGATGCTGTCCACCACGTCAGAGTCGGCGTTGACCACGCAAGTACGTGGGAAGGACGGAATCACCATGATGAGACCCATTTTCCTTTTTTGCTTCCAGGCTAGTAGACGCTCACGTGGTATGTCAATTTTCCCCTGTGTGCAGTCCTGTATTTGTCTGGGCTGCGCGGCTCCGTGATTTCAGACGTGGATGGTCTTCTTGGTGTCTACCAAATCCGACCACCTCATTATGTGGTGGGCAGAGCAGGCTTAGCTAAGAGGCACGGAGGCTGCGCCTGTCCCCGGAGGCAGCGCATTCCTGGCGCTCGCGACGGTAGGCCGTCCCTCCGTCAGCCTCCCCGGCTAACCAGACCACCATCGGCTGTCTGACCGAGGCCGCTCACCTGGCGGCGCTGCCCCCAGGTGGCCATGCTGAACTCGGTGCCGGCCGTGTTCGAGCAGCTGCGTGCGGTGCTGCCGGACATCGAGATCGCGCGCCGGCTGTCGCTGATGCTGGAGTCGCTGCCGCACGACCCGCCGTCGGCCGTCGTGCAGGCCAAGCTGCAGGCCATGCGCGCCGTGGCCGCCTCCCGCCTCTTCCAGGACCAGGGTTAGTGCGGCGCTCAGGGAAGGAAGGTGCCATGCCGGGTGACTGTCTGGCGGCGAAGTGGGGATGAGGCTCCACGTCGGCATGTAATGCAACGGCCACGTACCCACCAACGGCCGTGCAGCCTGTTTGTTGGTGGAGAGTGATCGTCTGCAAGACGCAGGGCTGTTTTCGTCGTGTTCCGTCGGCACGTGTTACATGTCGGGGGCAATACGAATAAGTACTCAGAAAGCAAGGAAAATGAAAGGAAGTCACAGTTCTTCCAACACGAAGGTTTGTTTTGTCCGACGCGTACAGACGCATACACAGAACCCGTATGGACATTTAGACACCTGTACCGTGCAGAACAGTAACGAGATGGACATTCCGATTGCGGACGGCCATGGGCTGGGTTTGCGGTCTCTGCCAATGGTCGCTCGTACACAGCAGCGCCGGCGTGCGGACCGCATTCAGTTCTTGCTTCCCGGCTGCATGTAGGGTGCCTCCATTGCTCCAGACATGGTCCTCTCCCTCCACGGTATCTTGGAGAGGCGGCATGAAGGTAGCAGCCGTGTTGCGGCCGTTGTCACCTGGCGTTGGTCACACTGCAGAGACGGGACAGCGGCCGGCTGCTGGTCGGGTCGGGTATTGCTTAGCCCTTGGTCGGCAGCGGGTGGCACACTGTCCCTGTGAGCGGCGCATACAAACGCCGTGAGTGGAGAGAAGTTGCGCGCGCGACCCTCCACGCCTGCTCAGAGAACCGACAGCGAACACGGGCCTTAAACACAGCCCCAGGGCTCCCATCTCTCGACGCGAGCGGGCGAAGGGGAGGTCTAGCGGTTCAATAAACAACCCTGGCGCGTCATTCAATGTTGGAGCCCGCCGGGGTGGCTCATTACTGCCGGTACCGGGCGTTGTGGTGCCCCCGTCGTGTGTCTAAGATGCTGGCGCGGAGCGGCGCTCGGCGGAGACGGTCGGCTCGCCGAGGGCAGATATCTGAATCGATGGCAAGACGTTTGAGCGACCCAGAGCTGGTGCGTAGACAGGTGTGCACCGGCAATGGGAGAGCCACATGGCTTGCAATACGCCGCGTACACACAGCTTATCAGAGCACATGCGTTATGCTCGACCCCCGCCGCTGCCTCCTCCCCCCCCCCCCCCACACACACACGTCACGACAGACGATCGATAGTGGCTCGGTAGTTCTTCCCTCTCGTAGTTCGGTTGGGTAGTTCGGTTCGGTAGTTCTAAGGCTGGGTACAGTCGGCGTTTGACTGTCCCTTTTCGACCTTTACGCCTGTCTCTGCATGTGAATTTTTGACGGGGCTGTTAGGAGTGAAGCACAATGTTGTCACCAGGATACCATCTAGAATGTCCCTCAGTTTTGTACAGCAGCGCTCCCGGGATTGTGTGCCAGGGCGCTTCCATTCCGAGGAATTGCGACCCGCTGCCTGATCAAATTCTGGGTTGTCTTTACCTTTGTTAGACGTTACCGTTTTGTAACAACCAGCCGCGCTATCGCGCCACTCCGGTGGTCACTGCAAGCGCCACGGTGGCGCGCCACAGCGGCACGGTTCCGCGCGCTGGCCGCGGCGGCGCGTCGATTCGTCCGTGTCCGTCCCCCGTCCGACGGCGTCCTTCTGCCGGACAGAGTCGCGCCGGCTGCTGCTGCAGACGGCCTGCAAACACCTGCGCCATCACATCAGTCACCGGCAGGAGCTGCGGCTGGCGCTGGACCTTGCTCGGCGAGCTGCTTACCACCCTGCAGACGCTACAGGTGCGTAGATGGCGCTGGTGTGCCGGGACCGGCCGACGCCGCGGCCGTCGGCTGGGGGAGGGCGGGGGGCGGAAGAACGCTGGCGGCCGCGGTCGTCGGCTGAGGGAGAGCGGGGGGCGGGAGAACGCTGGCGGCCGCGGCCGTCGGCTGGGGGAGAGCGAGGAGCGGGAGACCGCTGACCCTGCTGCGCCTGACCTTTGTTGGGCTGAGTTTGGTGGAGCTGTCGTGCTCGGTCGTCAGCGGTGTGGACTGAGGTCGTAATGTAATGGCGGTGGGGCCTTCAGTAGCCGGGGGGGGGGGGGGGGGGGTTAGATCACCGGAGCACCAAGGGGCTGGGTGCCGTGTCGCGTTGGGAAAGCGTTTTGCTTTCATCAGTGTTCGGCTGTTGTACAGCCTCATCTGTACCGGTTCTGGTCGGAAGCTCCTCCACGGAACTGCATCACAACCGCTGAGATTGCACCGGTCCCCTCCTGACCTGTACCACGACCGCGGAGATAGTGCTGGTCTCCCTCCCGACCCGTACCACGACCGCGGAGATTGTGCCGGTCTCTCTCCTGACCTCGTGTGTACCGTCCCAGGCCGACGACCCCTCTGCCGACCTCTACCGCGAGGTGGAGATCGTGTCGGTGTACCAGCTGGACACGATGACGCGGTCGGTGCTGGCGCTGGAGTCGGCGCCGCTGGCGGTCGGCGGCGGCCAGCGCGGCCGGCTGGTGGCGGCGCTCGCCACGCTGTTGCGGCTGATGACCCCGCAGCACTACGGCCACCTGTGGGATGAGGTCGGCGACCCGACCCAACTCACACACTTCCTACTGCGGCTCATGGCCGTGTTCCGCGAGCTCGTCACCGAACAGGTCAGACGTGACGTCATGTGGCCGACTCTGGCAGGTCAGGTGTGACGTCATCTGGCTGGCTGTGGTCGGACGTGACGTCATTGCAGTTCTGGATTAGTCACTGAACAGTGAATGATTGAATTGGTCGATACTTAAGATAAACACTGGCTTACTGGCTTAAGATGAGACGAGCACTGGCTTATCATTTGAACATGGGACCATTGATGTCCATTGGCCAGTGATATAACTAGATTTGGTAACAAATAGAATGGATGACAATGCCCAGTGTTGAGAGTAATTCGTTTTGCTAACCCGACTTCCACAAAATCGTCAGCGATCACCATTTCTGACTTGATCCCCGCCCATTCGTTTGCAGATGTTTCCACAGGACTGGTGTACGCTCCACATGACCATCAACAAGGTGATCCTGAACACTTTGACGGAGCTGGCTGTTCCGCTGCGGGACAGATTCCTGGACGGCAAACACTTCAGTCAGCAGGTGAGACGACAGCAGTCAACAAGTCTACCGTCGTGTTCCATGTGTTATCTGTTGATCTCGCGGCGGTAAAACAAATCGGTCGTTTTCCAGTCGCCAAGTATCACATGCTACGGCACTTCTGAAGTGTTGTAGTGCAAAATGCGTTTGCCTCTTGGCTGATATAGGCTGTAATGTACGGTGCTTATGACTGGCGTTGTCTCCGTTTTCAGCTCTGGCTCAGCTACTTGACGCTGTCGGTGACGTTCCTGACGCAGCCCAGCCTGCAGCTGGAGAGCTTCTCCGAGGTGAAGCGCGAGAAGCTGCTACAGAAGTACCAGGACATGCGGGTGCAGATGGGCTTCCAGCTGCTCTCCATGTGGACACTGCTCGGTGCGTGCGCGGCACCTCCACCGCAGACGCCCACCTGTGTGCTCTCTCTCTCTGTGGAGGGGATTGGCGTAGGCTGTGATCGTCTTCCTGGCCAGTGTATAACCATTTTGTTTGAGGAGGGAAAAGTGAGATGTTGCGTAGTAGACAGCGGCACCATTTCACGAGAGGCGTCGCTGGGTCCCACGTCTGACGGGAGGGCGTGGCGCCTGGCGCACCCCAGCCCCCGGCCTGGCCGTGGCCGCCTGCTCGCGCCACATCAGGCGCGGCGGGGAGGTGTGTGTGTCGCTCGGTGCTGACCTGTTGCTCTCGGGGCCACCAGGCGAGCACAAGGGACACTTTGTGCCGGCGCTGGTGGGGCCGATGCTGGAGGTGACACTCGTGCCCGAGGCCGAGCTGCGGCGCGCCACGCTGCCCGTCTTCTTCGACATGATGGCCGCAGAACAGGCGGCCAAGGGCTGCTTCAAACAGGTGAGCGCGCCAACAGGACCACGGCGCCGTCCCGCCCGATGGAGCCGGCGGCCGCGCTCCGCCGGACCAGCCCCAGTGCTTCGCCAGTGGAAGCGGGATTGTTAATGATGTGTGGCAGAGTCAGCCATGGGAGTTTTCGGGCAAATGTTTTCCAGAAACGATTGTTCACCGGTGAGGTCATTGCCGGCACCCCGCGCTTATTCTCGCCTCCATGTCCGGCACCCCGCGCTGATTTCTCGCCTCCATGTCCGGCGCCCCGCGCTGATTTTTCGCCTCCATGTCCGGCACTCCGCGCTGATTTCCTGCCTTCGTGTGCCTTTTGGTCAGGTGGAGACGGAGCTGATCGACAAGCTGGACATTCTGGTCAGCGAGAACAAGGGCGACGACGAGTACCGGCAGCTGTTCGACACCATGTGAGTCATCGCCTACCGACAGCGCCCGACACTCGCACGCGGCGCTCTGTACTGCGTGACGCTGGAACGGGGCCACCCCGGCTGCCGGATGGTCTCTGGCGGGTGATGATGAGGAGCACCGGGCGAGCGTGCCGCCTGCACAGCTGTGTCCTGACAGTGACGCTGTGTTTGCCCCCCACGCAGAGACGGTCTGGTGGAACAGTGAGTTAGCCGGGTCGCGGGGCGTACCACCCGCTCGCTGTGTCTGGCTGTGTGTCGGGAGATGCCTGCCTCCAATGGCGGCTGTTCTGTAGCTCTGGCTCCTCTCCCGGCTGCTGCGACACGTGTAGATGTACCCGCCCCTCACTGCTCTCCCCAAGCCGCAGTCTGCACCCCCTGTGGTCCGTGTTCTCTGTGTAGCGGCCGGGTGTCACCTGCCCGTCCGTACTGGGTCGGTGTGATGCTGCTATACGGTGATATTCGTGCTGTTGGATGTACATTTTGTTCTCCGATGTGGGTGTGCCATACCGTTGTCAGTTATTTACTGCCATGAAATCCAATGTCCTGGCTGCCCACCGTAAGTCCACAAACTTCTACCTCAGGCGCCGAGTAGCTCTCAAGCTTTGCGTTGCCTTGACTTTAGTACGGCAGTCCTGGTTCCGCCCGGCCGCTCAGCGGTCTGCGGGACCGGGTCGTGACCTGCCGGTCCCCTTGACGCCGCTGCCCCGGCGCCGGCAGTCTGATGGCCAAGGTGAACGGCAGCGGCGTGGCGTGGCGCGAGGCCGGCGTCAGCTTCGTCAGCTCAGTGACGCGTCTGCTGGAGCGGCTGCTCGACTACCGCCAGGTCATGGACGGAGAGGAGAACCGCGACAAGCGCATGAGCTGCATCGTCAATCTTCTGGTGAGTGGTCGGCTTCAGAGGCGGCAGATGGTGGTGGGATTTGTCTGATCTTTGTAGAGTTAGTGTCATTGTTGTTTGTCGTGTTCCGACGGCCCTGCACGGAACTGATGACTCACTGTCAATGTTACTATCTAACAGTACAACGTGGTGAGCATTGCCACAGCCGCCGTAACATTCACACGACAGTGGATGTCAGATGATGTGCGTAGCATTCGCACAGCCCTCTGACGTGTCATCGCCCCGTCACGCAGAACTTCTACAAGAACGAGATCAACCGCGTGGAGATGTACCAGCGCTACATCTACAAGCTGCACGACCTGCACGTGTCGGCCGAGAACTACGTGGAGGCGGCGCTGACGCTGCGCCTGCACGCCGACCAGCTGGAGTGGACGACTCGCGTGCTACACGCTGACCTGCGCTACCCGGCCCAGTGCGAATGGCAGCGCAAGGAACAGCTGCTCAACCAAATGGTCGACTACCTGGACCGCGGCAAGTGCTGGGAGGCCGGCATCCCGCTGCTGAAGGAGCTGGCCGAGAAGCACGAGACCAAGATCTACGACTACAGCAAGCTGAGCGAGGTGCTGCGCACGATGGCGCGCTTCTACGACCAGATCATGACGCAGCTGCGGCCCGAGCCCGAGTACTTCAGGGTCGGCTTCTACGGCCAGGCCTTCCCGCTCTTCGTCAGGGTGCGTGGCTGGGCGGGGCGCGGAGGGGCGGCAGGGGTAGAGGGGCTCTCGGTGACGCGTTTGGCGCGCACGGATCGGAATGGGGTGGGCGCAGCTTTCAGGGGAGCGCGGCTGCGAACAGCTGCCCCTAAGCGCAGGCTGGAGCATCGTCGTTGTGGCGATCGATGAAAGCAGCTCGTCGTGGGTGGGCTTCTCAACATCAAAGCACGCAATGCACGCTCGACCTGGCATTGAGCTGACTGGCCGTGCTGCTTGATGTCGGTGCCAAGACCCACAGTAGCTGCTGGCATCACTGCTGGCCCGCCAACGTCAATAGCTCGCTGTTTCCGGGCTGGTGGGAGCACCTCGGCCGACGGTGCACTGCGTCATTGAGAACTGAGCGTTGGCCTCGTGTCAATGCGTCCTTCAACCAGGCGCCGATCTTGCCCTAGCCCTTCGCCGTATGTAGAACAATGTGACCGCCTCACGCAAACCCCTCTCTCCGCCCGCGAGCCAAGGTGGCCGTTTGACCCTGATTTCCGCTCTCCGGCCGCAGAACAAGGTGTTCGTGTACCGCGGCCTGGAGTACGAGCGGATCGGCGCCTTCACCCAGCGGCTGCAGACCGAGTTCCCCGCCGGCCAGATGATGACGACGCTGGCGCCACCTGACGAGAATCTCATGAACGCCGACGTGCAGTGCATTCAGATCTGCAACGTCCGTCCCGTCTCGCGCGACGTGTCGGGACTGCAGGGCATCGAGGTGCCCGAGAAGATCCGCGCCTACTTCCTCGTCAACGACATCGACACGTTCCGCTTCGACCGACCCGTGCACCGCGGCACGGTCGACAAGGAGAACGAGTTCAAGGTGAGTCGCGGCGACGAGGGCCGAGCGGGGGACGCGGTGGCCGCGGAGGCGGTGTTGCGGGGTCAGATCAGTGGGAGGCTTGTCGGCAGTGGCGCGGTGAGATGACAACCTTGGGTAGAGATGAAACGCTGCTCAGTTTGAGCGGCTCCATTGGCAAGTCGGTCGTGTATCAGGTCTTATGATTTGTGGCTCCGTCGTCGGCCTATTTAGTTCGAGATGATGTTTCACGTCACACACGTCATGGCCGTAACTGGCGCCGCCGCCTGCGCACGCCTGACTCGCGGCCGCGGCTGACCCGCCGCCCGTCCGGCAGACGCTGTGGCTGGAGCGGACCACTCTGCAGATCGAGGCGCCGCTGCCGGGCATCCTGCGCTGGTTCCCGGTCACCAGCAGTCGGCGCGAGATGGTGTCGCCAATCCAGCACGGCTGCGAGACGGTGCGCGCCGCCAACCGGCAGCTGCGCCAGCTGGTGGCCCAGTACACGACCTCCGGCGCCGGCACCAACGTCAGTCCGCTCAGCATGCGGCTGCAGGTACGCCTGCCGAGCGGCGGCCGCGGAGACAGCGGCGCCGGTGACTCTGACCGCGGGGAGGGCGGCGGAGGCGACCCTGACCGCGGGGAGAGCGGCAGAGGCGACTCTGACCGCGGGGAGAGCGGTAGAGGCGACCCTGACCGCGGGGAGAGCGGCAGAGGCGACTCTGACCGCGGGGAGAGCGGTAGAGGCGACCCTGACCGTGGGGAGAGCGGTAGAGGCGACTCTGACCGCGGGGAGAGCGGTAGAGGCGACTCTGACCGCGGGGAGAGCGGCAGAGGCGACTCTGACCGCGGGGAGAGCGGCAGAGGCGACTCTGACCGCGGGGAGAGCGGCAGAGGCGACTCTGACCGCGGGGAGAGCGGCAGAGGCGACTCTGACCGCGGAGACAGCGGCAGAGGCGACTCTGACCGCGGGAGGGCGGCGGCCGCGGAGACAGCGGCGCCGGTGACTGACCGCGGGGATGGTGCACGGAGGTGATTCTGACGGCGGGAGAGGGCGGCTCAGGCACATCCGTCCCGATGGCAGGAGTGGGCTGGGCCTAATTTGTTTACCTCACTGCTGTGACGCACTTATCGGCGCGGGTTTCCATTGACGCACGCTGGGTGACATGCTGTGTGCACCGCCGGTGATGTCCACGGACAGGACACCACGTCGCGGCAGTAGGAGTAGCCAAAAAGCGTGCACGTGCACAGTACGTGGGACAGCTCGCAGCGAGCGTGCGGTTCGCACGCGATCTTTGCGGGCCTCCCGAACACGTGACCTGACCTTGCTTGCCTCCAGGGTATGATCGACGCGGCGGTGAACGGCGGCATCGCCAACTTCCAGGAGGCGTTCTTCACGGCCGAGTTCGCGACGCAGCCTCCCGAGCTGACTGTCTACGTGCCGCAGCTGAAGGCGCTCATCCAGGAGGAGGTGGGTAGCGCGGCCGGACGCCGCGAGAGGGCCTAGCTGTCGCGAGACCGTGCGGCGGGACAGAGTGGTCTAGTGGGCACGAAATTCAGACATCAAGATCTGAAGCCTGACAACTTGTCGAGCTTCGGGTCTTGGTGTCTGGATTCTGTGTCTTGCTTCGTAGGAAGATCGTTGGCGTCGATTCGCTCACCAGGAATGGTGTTGCTAGCCGTCTTTGCTAAACCATGCGTCGATGCATGTCTGGCAGCAAGTGGGGTGCACGGGGACGGGTGCGAGACCAATGGAGATTCGTGAGTGATCACATACGGTGTGCTGTTTGTTTTGTCACCGCTGCCAGCTCGCTGCTGATTCATTTTGGGGAGAGGCCTGGCACCATGAATGACCTCTGGCGATGGATCGTCTTTTAGGCACCCGGTTGTTTGACCGAAGGCGGAGCTGTTCACGTGCCTTTAGGATGGTCCGGACTCTTGCCTGCATTTGCCGTTATTGACCGTGCCTCCGCCCCCTGCCCGCTGGTCATGCCGTCCTCGTCTCATGACGTCGCGTGCCGTCCCTCTCTCTGCAGCTATCGATCCTGGAGCACGGTCTGAAGGTGCACGGCGAGCTGGCTCCGCCGAGCGTGCAGCCGCTGCACCGGCGGCTGCGCGAGTGTTTCCAGCAGCTGCGGCAGAGCGCGGCCGCCTCCTGTCTGCCGGCGAGCGCCGACTCGCCCGGCCCGGCCCGGCTCAGCCGCCAGAACAGCCACCGGCGCAGTGGCGGCGCCGACAAACCCAGCATCATCAGGTCAGCCGGCGCCCCGCGCGGCCCCGCGGGCTGAGCGCCTTCGGGTTTGGAGAGACTCGCTGCTGGGGAAGCGAGCGGTGTTCTGTAAGACTGCTATGCGGACCAAATCCAAATCTTCTGCACGACGTACGAAATTTCAGAGCATGCTCCGTTGAATGTTTTCGTTCTTTGCATGATCCAGTGACTGTTGTGTTACCATTTCATGCTTCGGCACATACCTGTGCTGTATCTGCACGTTATCAGTTATCTGGAGCTCCATGTAACTTTCCAGCGGGTTATCATCTTTATCTCGACTTCCATGTTCTTGGTCGTTACACCCCTATGGCGAATGTCCATCATCCCGTACTCAACAGTTACTGAAAGCGTTTCTCGTCTGCCGCTCGCCGCGACCGTCAGTAACCTTGCCGCCGCCGCCGCCGCCGTCTGTAACTCCGGCTGTGTTGGCAGCACGCCGCTACCGCCGCTGCCATGCGAGAAGCGTCCTCAGAGCTCGTGCCCGAGCAACCGCTCGTCCTCGTCCTCGTCGTCCGTATACGGCCAGCTGGTGGTGGACGAGGAGGACGGCATCTACTCGCGCCCGTCCGAGTGGGCGGAGCTGGGCGAGCGCGGCGAGCGTGGCTCGCTGGGCTCGCAGGGCAGCGCCGCCGGCCGACGTCATCATGACTACATCATCATGTCCTGTGGCAAGGGGTCAGTGCTCGCCGAGTGCGGCCGGCGCCGGCCACCGCGGGCAGATGGCACCCCAGACGCCAAACACGCTAGATTGTATATGAGCGACCCTTTTGCCACCACTCCTGTGTTCTAGTTTGAGTGAGTTGTCGATAGCCGCTATTGCAAATTTGAAGTAAATAATGGCAAATAGTAAACAAATGTCGTTAAATTTATAACCGTATTTGTCGTGATGTTCACTAGCGATCAACATGGCTGTGGCGATTAGGATGTTCAGCTCATGACACATCGAAAGCCTTTCGGCCAGCTGGACCCGGTTGTACACGTCGAATGCCGTGACTTGTTCCCTTGCGGCGACTGCGCCAGCTCCAGCGACCGTGGTATGGGCGCGGTGTTGGCCGCTGACGGCCCTGCGCCGCCGTTCCAGTGAGAGCGAGGTGCCGGAGCGGCCGCCGAAGCGCCTCTCGGACGCCCGCTCCTGGACGGAGAGCCCGCGGCTCGGGGGCCGCAGGTCGCAGGCCAGTGACGCAGACCCGGACGCGCCGCCGCTGCCGCCCAAACGTGAGAGATGGCGGCCCCCTGGCTGACGCGGCCCGCGCCTCACGAGGCTTAGTTATTGTTTTTAAAATGGCTTGTTTGGGAAAGGCGGTAGTTAATTTTGGCCAGTCATTGCAGTCCAATATGGCTCGCAGCAGAGTCAGGTTTTCGTCAGCCTTTTCTGTGGGGTCGTCGCTGTTGTAACGAGTCCCGCTTTGTGATGCGGTGTTTGTTCCCGCAGGGCGTAGCAACGCAGACTTTGTGACCACTGATGAGCCTTATATCAGTGCTCATCAGTGCGATAGGCTGGCCCAGATTTTGACATGGCATAGGCATTTTCCTATGAGGACGCCTTACCGCGGGAATTGCTGATATTTGCAGCCTGGTTTTCTAGTTATTTTAGTTATATTTTATCTTATATAGTATATATGTGCAATTTCATATTTGATATATATATATATGTAATTTATTTTATATTTTATTTATTTTATTTTGAGTTATTTTTTACTAGACATTAGTGATGCCCGTGTTGCGTGACCTTCGTCCGCGGCATGCCCGTAGCTTACAGCCGAGTTATACTAGTATCGTTGTAAACAAGTCCTGCTTACTGAACATGGTGGCGGTCCGCCGCTGCGTCGGTTGGCTGTTGGTTCGGCAGAGCGCTGACGCCCTTGTCTGTCGCAGCCCCGGAGAAGCGGCACACCAGCTCCAGTTCCGTCTCTTCCGTCACTTGCAATGGCGTGTACGAGTTCCCGCCGTCCCTGCCTAGCCGCATGTCCAAGAAGGTGCGGCACTATCCGGTCTAGTCGCCGGCGCGGCGCTTTGGCCCGCAGTCCGCTTCTCGTGGGGATTATCGCAATCGGAACTCAAACCCCGGACGACAACGTGGTTTCGAATTGCCTTCCTGGCTTTGCGGGATCCGCAAGTGGTCGTTTTGAGTTGGTTCTGTTGTGTGGTTGAGTTCTTTCGTCAGAGGTATTGAGTCATTGTAAAGTACCAGAGGTGCTGGGTTGTGATTGGTGTCGTGCGTATCCCGCCAGACGTCGCTGTTGACTGTGAGTTCGCGCTTTTCTGTCTGCATTTCATTAACGCCGCTCATCGTCTTCTACTGTATCCCATATTCCCGTCCGCCAGTTTGACCCTACCTCTGTTTTGCATCTGCCCTCCGTCTGTCTGACCGGCGTTTTTCCCGTGTGCTGGGCTTCACGTCTCTGTCTGCCTCTCTACCTGTCGGGCGGAGGGCCTCTCATCTGTTTCTGCGTCCACCTGACTGGCTTCCTCCCTCTGTCTGCTGTGCCCTTCTCTCTCCCTTTCCGTCCGGCTGGCGCTTTGCCTGACGCTGGGCCACTCGCCGCAGATGTCGTCGCCGGCGCTGGGTCACTGGGCTTCGGCGGAGCGCGGCGCGGCCGGCACGCCGCCGCCGCTGCCGCCCAAGGTGCCCGCCTCGCCGGCCGCCTCGGTCAAGACGCGCACGCCCTCGCCGGCCACGCTCTCGCTGCCGAGCGACCGCGGCAGCCTGCCCGACTGCGACAGCCCGCCCAACTTCGAGCCGCCGCCGCCGCCGACGCAGGGCGCTGTCACGCGTGTGGAGCTCAACGGTGACGACGACATGGACACATACAAGGTGCTGGACTCGGCCGAGCTGCGTGGCTACCGTGAGGAGGCCAACTACAAGTTCTTCGTGTCGCCGGGTCGCATCTGCACCGATATAGTCGGTCTCGGCGAGAAGAGGCCCGAGTCGTGAGCGCGCGCGCAGCGTCCGAGTGTGCTTGTGCGAGTGCTACGTTATGTATACCAAAGAGGTGCGCGCTCGCACGTCGGCGTGTGCCGCGCTACCCGGCCGCCGGAGGCCGCGCCACCGTGGTCCGGACCCGAACTAGTCATCGAGTCGCCGAGCGGGCCGCGGCGGCTGACCGCGAGTGACCTAGCAATAGAGCGGCGGCGCCCCCTGTGATACGGCCGGCGTCGGACCGCGCCGCGCGCCGCCCGGGCGCCGCCGCTGCCTCATACCCCGCCGCCCTCATATCTCCCTCATTCGTGTGCCGGCGCGCGCCGCTGCCCGCCTTCGTTGTGCGTCTTCCCGCTGAGTGGGCGTGGGGAGGGATGGTGCTAGTCGAGAGCGGTGGGGCGCGCGCGCTCGAATGCCAGCGCTATGCTTAAAACGTGTGTTATATCGAAGCCAATAACATGGAGATTTGTAAACGGGGTTTTGCTGGTGATGGCCGGTGGCAGCAGAAACGGATCGGGAGATGGCGAGGAAGGGATTGGACGGTAATCTCAACTCAGATGAAATATTTTTTCGATTTTAGAAATCATTATCACACAATTATTGGCACTTGGGTGTCAGGTTTACCTTGCCCACTTTTACCAGCTAAAGGCTTTTTACTTTGGTGGCAGTTGTTTCATTTTCACAGCAGAATGCTTCAACAGTTTCCATGCGGTGAAAAAGATGTCCATGTGTCAGCCTGCGTCACGTTTAGAAGTGTTGACAAGTGAACGGACTATTTTTCTGACGAAGGGCGTCATGGCGAATGGTTAAAGTGCCGGACTTCCATGGGGGCCCGGGTTCGAATCCCTGATGCGCCATGGCCTCCCGGCGCTAACATGGACAATGCAGTCGCTGACCTTACATGAAAGGGTGTGGCGACGTGCGTCGCGCGCCCCTAAAAAAAGTTTATGACGCGTATTGATGATAATATTGTTGAAGAATTGCGCTAACCATGGGAAATTTGTTGACTTGAAGAGTGTGGGGTGAAGATGTGGTATAAAGGAAACTCCGAGAAAGAAGGTTGAGTAATAGCTATGAACAAAACGACTTCAAGGAGTAAACCAAAACGTAACGTACCTTCAACGTAAAACCAAAATATAGTGGACAAAATGTGCTAACATGCGCCCAGGCGGCCGGTTGCTTCCTTCGATTGGGCGAGGGGTCAATTTGACCCGCTCCCCCCTTGAGATCTCAGGAACTAAGTAAGCTAGAAACACCAAATTAACAGGGTGCATTGGGCTGTGTGGTTCCTAGGCCTTGACTTTTAGATCAAATAAGGTTAAACAAGGCCAAACTCTAAGTTGGTCTCCAAAGTGCCCCCAGAACCTAAATGCGTTTTCTAAGCAAAAGGTCACATGCTCACTTAAAGTCAGTTACCTTGGTTGATCTTTTGAACGTCATGGTGACCAAAATGATGCAAAACTGGTTTGTGTTTTGCATTCAAATAAGCGACAAAGATTGCGCTGGGCAGTATGCTCCTAAGAACAAAATGTTGACCTGGGTCCTTTGAGGTCAGTCACCTATTCTGACCTTTAAGAAGAGCATGGAAGATGCATAATACGGCTTCTGTTACCAATAAATTCGACATAACCATTAGAAACTATCCCATACAGCAAGCTCTCGAGTAATAAAACAGATTGGTTTTGACCTTGGTCTGACCTTCATGCTCGACCCCAGGTCAATTAAATCTGTTTATTCAGTTGTGTTGTCTAAGAGAGTATATCAGAGATGCATGGCTTCATCTAAATATTTGCTGTTGCATCAGACTGAACTATTCCCCTAGAAATTGCCCTCGCTGAATCTATGGCCTGACTTTGACCTGTCGTGGGTCAGCGACCTTACAAGGCGCGCTTAAATTTGCGAAAGCAAGCGATTCACTATTTAATTGCATGCAGTCATGCAAAATTTTGCGAGGCTTCGCCGCGCCGTTCCGAAATTATTCCGAAAAAACCTTCGGAGGAGGTTAATTTGATCCCTCACCCGAGCGCGTGTTTAAGAAGTGTGCTAGTAATGGGCCGTCTCGCAATGAATGCACATGCGCCGATTATTACTTTTACATAATAATCGACGCGTGAAGGAAGCCATGAGTTTGTTCGCCGTAGCTCATACTTGTGGCGTAGAATGCTCTGGCATTAGATGAAAGCTGAAAATAAAGTTAGTGGAAGTTCTGTGGAAAATAACACCACAAGTCTTACTGGCAGCATGTGATAAGTAATTCTGGCCGAAGTTCAGATGTTCAGCGCGTTTATCAGTGTTCATTGTGAACAATACGGAGCCCCGGCAGGCTACCTCCTGACCGCGGCGCTCATTCGGGAAACAAAAGATTTGGCCACGCTTAAGCCGTTTCCCAAGAATGTAGCAGGAAAATACAGCGTGTAGTCTTAGGAGATTTGGTCTGCGGACACGTATTCCACGCAAACTATCGGGTACGGTGGAAATGACGCGTAGAAAATCTGAGGCCGAATGGAACTCAACCTTATTATAATGACAGCATGATTCCCTGCACATCAGAAAACCCTGATTATTTTAATCTGAGTGACTCCGCCCAGACTACAAATGTGGTCGGCTCATCCTGGCACTGATCGTCGTCGTCACTTCCGGGTCAACTTGGAAGTACTGAGGCACCTGGCTGAGGCTGAGGCGCTTTTGAGCATGTTTGGTGTCGGACCGGAAGTCACGGGTGGATCATCTGTCCGGAGCATGCCTTTGTCTAGTGTGTTAGTATGTGGTGTTATATGGGTGTGCATGCTAACATATCAGACGAAGGCGATATTTCAAACAATTATTTCATCCGTGTCACCACCAAATCGTTCTAATCCTTCCCTATAGAGAATGCTTCACACCTGAAGGTTCTGAAGCAGGCACCAAATATGATGGAAGAGACTCGTTTATAACTATTGGTATACTTCTGATTAGAAAAGACTCCTCAAAACACCACAATTTCTCTGTTTAGCAAATAAGCTCCTCGATACGTCACTGTTTTATTGTGTCATTGTACCTTGCACGAAAAAGACTGAGAGCCAATTGACGGCGGTTTTATTTGGGAATAATGCTCACAAATGCCAGATGTGAACGATTCAACCATTATATTTTCCTCAGCCTTGATCGCGCATGGTACATGAAATGGTTATTATGACGTCATGAATGCCAAGGTGACCTTGAAATACTCCCTACTTTCGCAGGCGTGTAGCTTAGGAACTAAAGGGGCTTAGATCTTAAGAAGGTTAGGACTGTGAACTACACCGAACGATCTCCAAAATGTGTTTTTCAGTTCAAAACCCCACATAAATGCGGAACACCACCTTTAAACCTTCGGCCAGACGTCACTGAGACAATGTTCACCACAGCGAGGGCCTGGTTATGCAACACACAGCTCGGCCCACACGGCGGACAAGCTTTCCCATCAGACGCGGCACTCCGAAGTTAAAAAACGACCAATGATAATGCAGGTGACATGCAAGCGTTTGTCAGCGAGTCGCATCGTCAAGCGTCAAGCGCTTCTTATCACGTGTTCAGTTCGGCGAGTGAGTTTCAAGAGGACTTCATTGAATTGATTGAGTGGGACGACGGACGGATGGACGAAAGTATGATGCATATATTTCTGAGCGGATGCATCGATGAAACGAGACGGATATGGAATCGACAGAAGCGGAGTAAACTGATGCGTTTTGGACGGTTTGCACCACAAAGCCTTCTTCAGAAAAGTCCATTTAGAAGCCAAATGCTCGCTTTCATAATGTGAAAGGTGTACACTTAACTGATGCATAACTATGCACGCCGGCAAAAAAGGGTGCGAAAATTTCAAGGCGTGACTCCACCAAAGCCCAAAAACGGTCTCGGAACCAGGAATCCGAAATATGACAGATGTACCGGCTGTAGGAGCAACGTATTACGAACAAGTGGACCGCTCTCCCTCTGTACCCACATCAGTGAACCTATTGGTTTTAACATGAAACATGCCTGTCACACTCTAAACTGCCATCTTTTCACTGTTGATACCTCACCGTAGGCGCTTTGTGGTTAGCGGCTGTCAGTAGCACCCACCTGCACCCGATATTTTGGTGCCTTCTTGCGAGACAGTCTCCCGCGCTCCTGCCTATTGACGGGATGCCCATCGTTGAACGTAGCTCGCGACGGTTCTTTCCCGATATATGGGACTCGGTGAACAGATGACTGCTCCAGTGGCACAGAGCGAGGCCGCGCCACCATGGTGGGTCACCGGACCGAAGAATCTATTTACAGACACACCATGACCGCAGCCAGACTGCCGCGTCTGCGCTGGTCGGCGCAGAGCTTCCCTGTGACGTAGCGATCTCCAGCAACCGCTGTCATGCTGTGGGTGGGAAGGAGCCAGTCGAGGGAAGATCCTCCAGGGTCAGGCGCGGACCAAACACATTCCACCTACGTTTGTACGCACATTGACCATCTGCGCCACCAATGTGTCAACTAACCACGACGGACAGTACATAGGATCCGCGCCGACCACTGGCGCTGACCGCACTGTACGTGATCTCTTCATAGGATCCGCGTCGGCCACTGGCGCTGACCGCACTGCACGTGACTTCTCGGCGCCGGCTATCCACCGCTCGGGGCAGCGTCGGCTGGCGACGGCATGGGATGCACACCTGGCTGGCCGCACACAGCAGGGTGACGGGCCTTCTGGAGCCAGGTGTCGGCGCCTCCTCACGGCCGCCGCCGTGCCCACGCCCACGCCGCCTCCCCGCACTCTGAAGCCTGGCACCGGAGCCGTGAACACGAATGCCGACGCCGCGGTGGAGCCGGCGAAACCATTCGGTCATGTGTAGAAGCACGCGGCGTCTGTGACTCATCCATATTGGCGTTTTACCGTTATTTGTGCGTGACTCGAAATTGCTCATAGCTGTGCGAGAACGGCTGGATCTTATCCTACGACACCTCGCTGCAAGTCATAGGGACGACGGACGCAGA